CTACTTGTCGTAGAACATTTTAACTTGTGGTAGCGTGTTTTTTGTGCAATTCTAGCTTTAAAACGTAATTTTGGGCTCAATTTTGATTGTTAATTTAAATTTTCTAATAAAATGCAAAAAAGTCTACAATTATTGACCAATTTTTCAAAAACTACTTGTCGTAGAACATTTTAACTTGTGGTAGCGTGTTTTTTGTGCAATTCTAGCTTTAAAACGTAATTTTGGGCTCAATTTTGATTGTTAATTTAAATTTTCTAATAAAATGCAAAAAAGTCTACAATTATTGACCAATTTTTCAAAAACTACTTGTCGTAGAACATTTTAACTTGTGGTAGCGTGTTTTTTGTGCAATTCTAGCTTTAAAACGTAATTTTGGGCTCAATTTTGATTGTTAATTTAAATTTTCTAATAAAATGCAAAAAAGTCTACAATTATTGACCAATTTTTCAAAAACTACTTGTCGTAGAACATTTTAACTTGTGGTAGCGTGTTTTTTGTGCAATTCTAGCTTTAAAACGTAATTTTGGGCTCAATTTTGATTGTTAATTTAAATTTTCTAATAAAATGCAAAAAAGTCTACAATTATTGACCAATTTTTCAAAAACTACTTGTCGTAGAACATTTTAACTTGTGGTAGCGTGTTTTTTGTGCAATTCTAGCTTTAAAACGTAATTTTGGGCTCAATTTTGATTGTTAATTTAAATTTTCTAATAAAATGCAAAAAAGTCTACAATTATTGACCAATTTTTCAAAAACTACTTGTCGTAGAACATTTTAACTTGTGGTAGCGTGTTTTTTGTGCAATTCTAGCTTTAAAACGTAATTTTGGGCTCAATTTTGATTGTTAATTTAAATTTTCTAATAAAATGCAAAAAAGTCTACAATTATTGACCAATTTTTCAAAAACTACTTGTCGTAGAACATTTTAACTTGTGGTAGCGTGTTTTTTGTGCAATTCTAGCTTTAAAACGTAATTTTGGGCTCAATTTTGATTGTTAATTTAAATTTTCTAATAAAATGCAAAAAAGTCTACAATTATTGACCAATTTTTCAAAAACTACTTGTCGTAGAACATTTTAACTTGTGGTAGCGTGTTTTTTGTGCAATTCTAGCTTTAAAACGTAATTTTGGGCTCAATTTTGATTGTTAATTTAAATTTTCTAATAAAATGCAAAAAAGTCTACAATTATTGACCAATTTTTCAAAAACTACTTGTCGTAGAACATTTTAACTTGTGGTAGCGTGTTTTTTGTGCAATTCTAGCTTTAAAACGTAATTTTGGGCTCAATTTTGATTGTTAATTTAAATTTTCTAATAAAATGCAAAAAAGTCTACAATTATTGACCAATTTTTCAAAAACTACTTGTCGTAGAACATTTTAACTTGTGGTAGCGTGTTTTTTGTGCAATTCTAGCTTTAAAACGTAATTTTGGGCTCAATTTTGATTGTTAATTTAAATTTTCTAATAAAATGCAAAAAAGTCTACAATTATTGACCAATTTTTCAAAAACTACTTGTCGTAGAACATTTTAACTTGTGGTAGCGTGTTTTTTGTGCAATTCTAGCTTTAAAACGTAATTTTGGGCTCAATTTTGATTGTTAATTTAAATTTTCTAATAAAATGCAAAAAAGTCTACAATTATTGACCAATTTTTCAAAAACTACTTGTCGTAGAACATTTTAACTTGTGGTAGCGTGTTTTTTGTGCAATTCTAGCTTTAAAACGTAATTTTGGGCTCAATTTTGATTGTTAATTTAAATTTTCTAATAAAATGCAAAAAAGTCTACAATTATTGACCAATTTTTCAAAAACTACTTGTCGTAGAACATTTTAACTTGTGGTAGCGTGTTTTTTGTGCAATTCTAGCTTTAAAACGTAATTTTGGGCTCAATTTTGATTGTTAATTTAAATTTTCTAATAAAATGCAAAAAAGTCTACAATTATTGACCAATTTTTCAAAAACTACTTGTCGTAGAACATTTTAACTTGTGGTAGCGTGTTTTTTGTGCAATTCTAGCTTTAAAACGTAATTTTGGGCTCAATTTTGATTGTTAATTTAAATTTTCTAATAAAATGCAAAAAAGTCTACAATTATTGACCAATTTTTCAAAAACTACTTGTCGTAGAACATTTTAACTTGTGGTAGCGTGTTTTTTGTGCAATTCTAGCTTTAAAACGTAATTTTGGGCTCAATTTTGATTGTTAATTTAAATTTTCTAATAAAATGCAAAAAAGTCTACAATTATTGACCAATTTTTCAAAAACTACTTGTCGTAGAACATTTTAACTTGTGGTAGCGTGTTTTTTGTGCAATTCTAGCTTTAAAACGTAATTTTGGGCTCAATTTTGATTGTTAATTTAAATTTTCTAATAAAATGCAAAAAAGTCTACAATTATTGACCAATTTTTCAAAAACTACTTGTCGTAGAACATTTTAACTTGTGGTAGCGTGTTTTTTGTGCAATTCTAGCTTTAAAACGTAATTTTGGGCTCAATTTTGATTGTTAATTTAAATTTTCTAATAAAATGCAAAAAAGTCTACAATTATTGACCAATTTTTCAAAAACTACTTGTCGTAGAACGTTTTAACTTGTAGTTAAAACGTTCTACGACCGCAGAATCTGAAAAAATATTTTTTGTTGAATTTTTTTTGTGTAATGTTGGTTGCCTATACAATTCAATAATTTTTTTTTGGATTAAAAACAATGATAACAAGTTTTTAAGACGATTTTATATAAGACTCAATTAGCAATAAAACTCTTCAAGGCTTTTTAGTTGTAAAAATGCTAAAAAAGTTAAAATAAAAACTACCAAAAAGTCTACAATTATTATTGGCCAATTTGTCGAAAATTACTTGTTGTAGAACATTTTAACTTGTAGTATTATATTTTTCTGAGTTTTGACGACAAAAAAGCTTAATTTTGTGTTAAAATTTGGAAAACTAGTTTAATATATAAAATAACTGAAAAAATGCAAAAAATTTATTTGCTCAATTTTAAATTAATTTTTCTCAAAAACTACAAGTCGCACAACAAATATAAAAACATTGTTGGATTCTGTAAACAATTTTCTATCAAATAATAAAAACCGGGTTTGAATTAAAGCTACAGTTTTGTTTCTAGACGGTTTTTTAATAACCCGACAAAAAAATTAACTTGGAAACTTTATGTCTTAGAACATTTTAACTTGTGTAAAATAATGTCATAGAACATTTTAACTTGTGGTAACGTGCTTTTTGGGCACTTCTACCTTCAAAACGTAATTTTGGGCGCATTTTTTTATTAATTTAAATTTTCTAAAAAAATGCAAAAAATATTTTCATATTGGTTTTTCATGTTGGGTTCCTATACAATTAAAATTTTGTCAACAATTTTTTTTCTGAGTAAAAAAAAGTATAAAAAATTTCTAAGACGATTCTACATGAAACTCAATTAGTAATAAAATTTTTCAAGGTTTTTTTAGTAGCGAAAATGCCAAAAAAGACAAAAAACCTGCCAAAAAGTTTACAATTATTGGCCAATTTTTCAAAAACTAATTATCGTAGAACATTTTATTAACTTGTAGTTTTATCTTGTTGTACAGTTTTACGGTAAGAAAGCGTAATTTTGAGTTAAATTTTGTATTATTAGTTTAGAATGTCTAAAGAAACAAAAAAAATGTAAAAAAAATATTTTCTCAATTTTAAATAAATTTTCCTCAAAAACTACAAGTCGTACAACAAATATAAAAATATCCCTGGATTCTGTAAACAATTTTCTATCGAATAGTAAAAACCGTAAGTGAATCGGAGCTACAGTTTTGTTTCTAGATGCTTTTTGAT